GTGTCTTCATTTGTATCGTTTTTCTTATAATAAAACTGTCATCGTAAGTACAGCACTTTCTGTGAGTTCTGTAAGTCATCCTAACGGACTAGTGGGAGCCAGCAGGTCAGAAGTGAAGGTGACTGGGGACCCCTGAGCATACGAGTGGTATCCTGAGGGGCTTGAGGGAACCTCCGAATTTGTCACCAGCGGGTCAGAAGTGAGAGTGTTGTGGGGACTCCCAAGCTCGCGGCTGGTGACTGAGGTCGTGAGCAGACCTGGCCATCTTGAGGACTGTGTCCTTTATGAGGTCTGGCCCAGCTCCGGGTGTTAGGAGCAGAGGAAGAAGTGCTACACATGTGGCTGGTAGAGCAGATAAAGGTCCAAACCAAGGACTGGAGGAGCATGAAGGAGAGAGGTAGCTGTCAGGATGCACAAAACTCCTATACCATAAAATGTCAAAAAAACCAGACAACACCTGGACCAGGCTGAGTGTAATTTTAATGCCAGATGGAAGCACACAGCAGATGACAGGTGGGAGATCAGGTTACTTTTGACTGAAACACACGTGCCGAGGGAAGTCCAAGGACACCTCTGGGGATAAGGGAGCCCCACTCCACACACACACACACACACACACACACTCAGGCATATGTGCGCCAGGGTCCCACTTGCTGCCACGGGGGGGGGGGGCGGTAAGGGGCCAGCTGACCATGGTGGTAGCCTTCCAGACATATCTCAGCATAGTAGAGAGGCTCCAATCTGTTGGTGAAGGCCCCCTTTGGGCACACGGGCCATCCCTGGCTACCACTAACGTTCCTTAGCTCCTCCTGACGCGCAGCAAGGAGACTTGGATGGGAAGCATGTGGGCATGCAGTTCATGGCGGAGCTGAAAAGCAAAAGGAGCCAGGTGGCACATCCAGCCCATCTGACCCATAAGCGCACCATGGGCGAGGACAGAAAGGGACAGTGGAAGCGAATGTGTGTGGAGGGAAGCAACACGTCCTGAGCTTCCTATGTACTGGGCACATTATGTCACCACATTTTGTCATTTACACCTCGCAGCAACCTTGTGAAGCAGGTATCATTATCCCTACTTTACAGTGGAAGAAAGTAATACGGAGTAACATGCCCAAGGTCACACAGCTAGGAATTAGAATTCACACCCAAATCTATCCGGCTCCAAACTCAATGTTTGTCTGACCCCTGAGCCTACACCAATGGTTACAGGGGCAGATTAACCAGTAAACCCAGTATGCACGAGTTTGCAGTAAGTGAGGCACACACAGGCTAATTGTGCTTTCTTACTAATCTGTAGTGCATAATTTCACCTGGTTTTGTGCACTACAGATTAGGAAGTAAGCACAATTAAGCCCGTGTGTACCTTGCTTACTGGGTAACCCGTCTTTGATTATGGTCGACTCCCAACAAGAACTGACGCCCAACACCTTCAAGGTCTAGTTCCTGAACCTCAGATGCCTGACCTCCTCTTGATCGCCCTGGTTTCTGACCCCAGAAAAGCTGCTCAGATCTGACACTCAACCCTGGCCTCCCTCTTCAACTAGGATTCGGACTTGTTATACTTTGATTATCAC